GGACATTAACTCATTAACTTTGATACCAGAATTTAGTTGTAAGAAATGAATTAGAAAAAAGAAAACACGTCAATAGATGTCTCTGTCTACTTTTGAATGAATTTTTGAAAAGCATTACAAATAGTATTTGATCCCAGAGATGAACAGATCTTTTTGTCTACTTTTTACCTCATCTCGTTCTTGTTTTGGTTTTACTTTGTGACATTTGATGGATACTTTTTTAGGTGTTGAATGGATTCTTGGACTCGCATTACGAGCTTAATCATCCTCATCTTCTCAAAATAAATATACCTGGAAATGGGATTTTAGTTTCGGCGGTGGTAATGGATCATCAGGATCAAATAAGACTTTACCTTATATCGCCTATGGAGCTTCAGCTCTTTTGGGTTTATTGGTTCTCAATGAGTTGAGATACAAAAAGATCTCATGGAGAGGTTTTGTCGACTACCATTTGGCTCTAGGAACCGTTGAAAGGTCAATTAAACTATTGGCGCTGAGTTGACAATTGTTTTAAAAGATTAGCTCTTATCGCTGTTTTATACACCTTGCAGTGTTTCTCGATTGAGTGAAACAAACTTTCAATTTAGAAAACCTTATTTCTAATTGAAAAAGCCGAAATAAAAATTCGAATTTAGTTTTCATATGAAGAAACCAACCCACCAAATGAATGAAACAAATTTTATTTGCATAAACCCTCAATAGTTTCACTCAATTGAGATAAATGTTACGAGACTTCGGACTGACATTTTTCGATTAATAATTTTAGAGTGCAAATCGGTTTAGAAATGAAGTGTTAATTGTGAACTAACATATGCCACTTTCTGCTCGGACTGATCCAATCGAAAATGTCTTTGCTCAACTAAACAATTAGATTCAAGTTTTTGTAAATTTCTATTTGCGTCAATACCGGTTTGACACGGTAATTAGCAATGCTGGTTATCATTAAAATATCAAATCTTTTTTGATAAAGTACCTCGGTTAATTGTGTTTATCACTTTTCGTTGAGAAACCCGAGCAAATGATATGAAATCAAACTCGTTTTCTCCGGCTTTATGATGTTTTATACAGAGAATAGTTACAGTTAGTTCAATAAGTAAGTTTAAAGGATTAATCCGGGTGGAGCTTAATAGGCGTAAGCAATAATTTATGGCCAATAATGGTTGACCGGACATTTCGAATAATTAATAAAATTATTTGATTGTTTGATTGCTTGATTGTATTAGATCCTCCGGATCCTTCCTTTGTCGAAATTGACCCTTTTAATTAAGACCTAACCTAATTTAAAAACATTATATCAACTTCGATTATTAAGGGTTTTCGATTAATTGATCAATAAGCTCCACACCGGAGTAATCCTTGAGCCCTACCTTTCGATAAAGTAACAATCGACGTCAAACATAAAACAGGGATGACGACTGATTAATAAACAAATTTATTATTATTAGAATTAATCAACATTAAACATTTACCTGTTGTTAATTAAGAACAAAAATAAAAATTTCCATGAGCACTTGAAAATAACTTAGCAGGGAATGGTCAATTTATCTGTATTCGAATTTTCGTTAATTAACACCGTCACTGTTTTGACTTCAGATTCTATCTTGACAGAATTAGCAAAATTTGTGTGAGAAAAGTAACATATTAATCGCACACCTCTTAAATTCATTTTTAACAAATTGCTTGAGTCCAGGCGCCTTCTTCTATCAATCAAGGGCATTTTTCTAACTTCAGAATTAGCGAACGTCATCACGAACTTCAAATAACTTTTGAAGAGACATTTACTAGGTGTTTCTTAGGGTGGTGTGATTAATTTTCATTTTATTAGCCTCTTTTTATGAGATTTAAGGTAATTTGCAAAAATACGCAACTCAAGGTTCGATTTATTATTTATTTCGTTTTTGACCATAAAGATGTTTCAATCGAAAAAAAATCAACAAAGGTCTGATGAATGCAATGTTAAGTCAGCTTTTTGGATAAGAAATCACCGGAGGTGAAATCCTCTTTCTTTTATTTTCTCTTACTTTTGTCTTTCTCTTTTTATTAATTTACTATTTATTATTTATTATTAATTATTTCTTTTATTCATAACCTATTAAATGTTGATTATGAATCATTATGGTTGTTGTTTTTGATCAAATCACAAGTCAACTGTTAATATTAATTGATTAACAATGGGGTGGTGATTGTGGTAAACAATCAATTTGCTTCTGTTTGGACCTTTGACCAGATATGATTTTAATACTCGCAACAGAGAGTAGTAAAGAAGAGAGACTTTATCTTTTCATTTTGTAAAGGGGAAGAGATATCCGCTGGTGTGCAGATTCACAATGTGTATCTGATAATAACTTCGTATTGAGCTGGCGGGGGAAAGAAGAAAGACAGAGGATGGAAAGGAGAAGAAAGGAAAGAGAAAGCTCTTTACAACATTACAGCTAATAACAAACTTCAAGACTTGAGTGGTATGCAAGCAAAGAATATAGTGAAAGAGACTGCAAGCTATCTGGGTTGAGACCAGACTGAACACGGATGCCAAGAGGTGGCGCTTTTTACCATTTCTCTTTCTTTTTTCCCTTTCTTTTCTCTTTCTTTTCTCTTTCTTTTTACTTTTTTCAGCGGAAAAAAAGTGAACTAAAAAGAAAGGGGAAAAAGATAGAGAAATGGTAAAAAGTGCCACCTTTTGGCATCCGTGTTCAGTTTGCTCTCAACACGGATAGCTCTCTCTCTCTTGCTTCTTACTCTTTGGATGCAAGCCTGCCATTCCAAGTATATGACACAGCTCTCTTGACCATTCGGCCATCGAGGGCGAGCAACAGCAAAAAGAGCTGTTTGGGGATAAATCTCACGAGGGTCACTGACGTTTTTCTCTTTCTTTTCTCTTTCTTTTTGTTCTTTTTCCTGTCCATTAGTTCAACGACAAAGGGTAAACCAAGTTTAACCATTTTCCTCAATCTTTTCTTTTGTTCCACAAACTGTCACTCACGTTACTCTCTGTCATCTTATCTTCTCTCTTCATAGTCTCTCATCTCTCTCCCGTACACACACACAAACAACACTTTCAACCGCCAAAGTAACCAAACACAAATGTTGACCAATTGGGTCAGTTTATTCAAATTATTTTAACAGATAATAAACAGTATTTAAACAAAACCCAAATCAATAAACCTTGTCTTTAATTGCTGACAATTGAAGAGATAACATCTCTTAGTGCATTTCATATTCTTCGTGTAAAATCTAAGTGGTTCTTTTTTATATAAGAAGAAGAAGTTAAATTGATTAACGTTTTAATTAGATTTGATTAAATTTTCCCAACTAAAACCAACATGCGCAATAAAAACACAAAAATTAATTTTAAATTTACTGGTAAAGTTAATTGAATTGCAATTATCAGGAGCGATGAAAAAGATTTCTCTCGCAATTTGGAAAACAGACCCATCTTTTGTCAAAAGATTAGCAACTTCCAGCATAAATAGAATTAAATTAAGAATTCTGTACCTCGTCCTTATTCCCGTCATTTCATGAAATCAAACTGTATCGAATGCTTACTACTTCTATTTACTATACTATTTAATTTGAAATAAAAGTGTGCAGGTGCAGCTTTAAGCTGCACCTGCTAGGTTAGGCTCGTCAGGTTAAGAGTAGTCTCATGTGAGGCTTGAACGCGGGTTACATTATTCACTAAGCATATGCTCTCACCACCAGTCTGGCTGGTGAGGCAAATTATAAGATCTTTTGAACGCTTTCAAAGATAAGTACAGAGGCGGATACACTTGGAGCAGAGAAAACGGCACCTATACGGTCCTAGCTTAATTTAATAGAAATCTCATCAATCCACTAGATGGAGACTGTGAAAAAAGTAGTTGCTCTGTATCTCAACTTGATGCTTAAATGATACATGGCCTATGTGAATAGATGCTAAATTCAAATTAAAACGGTACAATCCACTTCGACTCAATTAAATTTACTCATTTTCTGTGAAAAATATAAAAAGGGCATATAATATAATAAATATTTTGGTTAGTCCTGGTGTAAGTAGTAGCAACACTTCAAAAAAATGGACTCGTTGAGGCCTCATACAGCGATAAGAGCTAATCTTTTAAAACAATTGTCAACTCAGCGCCAATAGTTTAATTGACCTTTCAACGGTTCCTAGAGCCAAATGGTAGTCGACAAAATCTCCATGAGATCTTTTGTATCTCAACTCATTGAGAACCAATAAACCCAAAAGAGCTGAAGCTCCATAGGCGATATAAGGTAAAGTCTTATTTGATCCTGATGATCCATTACCACCGCCGAAACTAAAATCCCATTTCAGGTATATTTATTTTGAGAAGATGAGGATGATTAAGCTCGTAATGCGAGTCCAAGAATCCATTCAACACCTAAAAAAGTATCCATCAAATGTCACAAAGTAAAACCAAAACAAGAACGAGATGAGGTAAAAAGTAGACAAAAAGATCTGTTCATCTCTGGGATCAAATACTATTTGTAATGCTTTTCAAAAATTCATTCAAAAGTAGACAGAGACATCTATTGACGTGTTTTCTTTTTTCTAATTCATTTCTTACAACTAAATTCTGGTATCAAAGTTAATGAGTTAATGTCCCGGTAAAAATTAATCCAACAGTAAAATAGTTTTGTAATTTTGTTTAACATGAAAAATGAACAGAATAAGATTGTAATTAGTTTATTGAGCATATAAACCTGACATGAATAATCTTAATCAAAAATTGTTTGTTTGATTTGAATCAATTTTTTAATTTAGTGTTTACAAACCATTAAGATCAAAATAAATTATGGCTTGAAAAAACACCAAAATAGTTAATTAGTTTCTTATTTACTTTTTTCACTTAACATAAAGTCCCTTAAGCGATTGGAATTGCAAACAAGTTGAGGTCAGAAAGTTAAACTTTCAAAGTTTTTTGTTTGACTTTGATTTAGGATAATCCTAATAGGATTCTTATTGGTTTTTTATTTGAAAGTTGACAATTTTTAATTGCCAATTAATAGTATCTTTGTTTACAAATGGGTTTTATTGGAAAAGATAATATGATTCGATACAAAAGGTTTGGTTAATTTGTCCATTTCTTTAATGTTTATCTCGTTCTTGTTTTTGTTTTGATTTGTGTCACTTGATGGGTACTTTTTTAGGTGTGGATTCTATTGATTGATGTCTCTCTTTTTGTTCAATTAACTAGTTGAAACTCCAATCAGGGGTCTAACTTGGTGTTAGTAATTATGAAAGATAATTAATGAGAAATCTATTACCTCATAATCCAAGACGATGTCAGGTTTGTCTCTTTTTTGTTTGGATTCTCATTTTTTCATGTTCATTGCTTGTTTTTTTCATTGTGTTGATTGATTTGTTAATTTTTTCTTTTTCATTATTTTTCATGTTTTCATCTTTTAGATTTTGAATAATTCACTCTCACACTATCATGATCATCATCATTTAAGATCATCATCAAGATTGGGTAAACTGATTGCCCAGTGGAGGTCATTTTGTAATAAGCCACCAAAAAGATTTGAGAAATTTTTTGGTAAATCAAGTGAGTTGGTGACATTTTGTTTTATTTGTTTGTTTGTGTCTTAAATTGTTTTCTTAAGTGATTTTGATGTGACTTTGATTTGGTCGAATTTTGAATGTTCTTTATTGACGCCATTTTGTTTCTCTCAGATAAGAAAACACCAACTGAGAATCAAACCAAGGAAGCTGCTGGAGAATCGAGTTCAGCTAAACGTAGTAGTGAGAGAAAAGAATCTGTTTTTGAACCTTCATCACGAGCAAAGTCTTCATCTTCCTCATCATCCTCATCTTCTCAAAATAAATATACCTGGAAATGGGATTTTAGTTTCGGCGGTGGTAAAGGATCATCAGGATCGAATAAGACTTTACCTTATATCGCCTATGGAGCTTCAGCTCTTTTGGGTTTATTGGTTCTCAATGAGTTGAGATACAAAGAGATCTCATGGAAAGATTTTGTCAACAATCATTTGGCTCGAGGAACCGTTGAAAAGTTAGAGGTAGTCAACAAGAAATGGGTTCGAGTTAAATTTTATTCCGATGCCTCTCAAGCAGATACAACTTCCGTCCTTTGGTTTAGTATCGGAAGTGTCGATGCCTTTGAACGTAACCTGGAAAATATCCAAGCCGAAATGAATATTGAACCTTCAAATTATGTTCCTGTTGTTTATAGAAATGAAATGGAAGTGTAAGTAACAATTACGATGTTTGATTATCGTGATGAAATTCATCAAGTTCATTTCATTTCCATTGGTAATGAGAAAATGTTAATTTCTCTTTCTTTCTCTTTTCATTCAAAAAAACAGTCGAGATTTTCTCAGTTTCCTTCCTACTATGATAATCATAGTATGTTCTACTTTTCTCTAAATCTCGAAACATGATGGGAGGACGTGGTGGAATCTTTGGAATGGGAGAATCTACGGCCAAAGTGATTAATCCAACGGACATTGGTGTCAAGTTCAGAGATGTTGGTGATTAGAATCGTGATGGAATTTTGGAGCCAATTTAATCTGTTACTTTTGTTTCGTAAAAAAGTTAAATATTTATTGTGGAAACAGCATTGAGATATCAATGTTAATAAACACTTGAGCATTAATTCAATAATTTTATTTGATTAGATAACTTATTTTTGCTCTCGATAAAAGCTTTTAGAGCATTGATTTAGATATCACCTAAGTTATTTAAAAAAATAGAAATATCAACTAAAATCTTCAATTGATTTTCCAACCAATATGCATGATTGACCAGCGAGTGACAAAGCACCTGAAAGTTAGAGAAAAACCGTTCATATATGTTAGAAAATCAGTAGTAAATAAAAAAATGTTTATAATAAACTTCGTGATGATGGATTTAGAAATTATTAGAATTGAAAAAATACATCAACTAACCAGTCTACATATAGATGAATATATATGCACATTTGTCTTCACCAGCTAGTCTGATGGTGAAGACATATGCTTAGTGAGCAACGCATCACGCGTTCAAGTCTCACTAAGGTCTCAGCCTAACAGATCTAACCTAACCTAGCAGATGTGGCTCATAACGCTGCAACTGCATATTTTTGCCAATTCTGCTATGCATATTTTTTATGGTTATGAAACATTAGAAAATATTTTTCTGATGGAAAGTAAGGGAAATGTCTGACAGACTAATATGTATAACGTTACTGAATTCCATGCATTTTGTCAGAGTTATACGGGCGTTTTTTATCACTACAGCTATTACCTGAATATCTCCAGAACTAAAAGTACACACGATGACCTTAAAATGACCTTTAAATGCTACCTTCGTTAAATGACCTCAATGACCTTGAAAATCGCAGGGTCGAGTGCTTCATCTGCTTAGTCCTCAGGTCAAGTCTGACATTCATATGACTTTTAGTTCTGGAGATATTCAGTGTAATAGCCGTAGTGATAAAAACGCCCTGTACATTCAATAAATAGTCATTTAATGAATAGCAACAAAATGGTTTTAGCCTCTAATTAACAATAAGGTTTCAATATACCAGACGCTATCTTGTGTGAAAAAATCGAATAAGATAAGGTAACCGGTAAAGAATAGAAGTAAACTTTGAAGATTAGTAATTAGTTAATGAAATTGAATTTGTGCATACATTTTATTGATAAACTTTTGGAATTACTATAGTTGAATAGACGGTAAAACAATTGATTTTAGCAAAAGTCCGTCTTGCCGATCACTTCAATCAATTTATAGTCAAAATTCTTAATAATTTTCGAACTTAATTAATCTGATTTGTTAGATCAGGCTGAATTTTCGATAATAAATCCATAATCAGCACAATTTGAGCTTCACAACGCTATAAAATTTTCATGTATTAAGAAAACAATTAGCTAATATGGACAGTTTTATTTAATTTAGATCGGTAAAATTGAGTATATTAAAACAACGGCCATTAATAACTTAAAATTAGAACTATCAAGAAATATTTTCGCATTGGCCCTTTGATTGTCGATAATTAAATCAATAATGATCAGTTTATTCCATCCCGTGTTGTTAACTTTTACCTGAAAGTATCGCCGTCTTGAAAAAATCGTTTCGAAGATGATTGTCAATTGAATCACAAATTGTACGATTTAGATTAATTTACAGGAATAAATGAACGTAACAATAAACTTTTGATAGACTGATCTTCTTTGTACTTGATACTTTCTTAAAGAACTAGCTTTTTATCTCACTTTACCACTGACAAATTTCACTATTTTCTATTGATACATATTCGAAAAATTGAATTTTTCACAACTTTTAATAATCGAAAAAGCTCGAAAAATATATTGATTTGAAGGTAAGAACTGTTTATTAATAATACATGTATTCTAATTTTGAGAATATAAATTTAAAATCAAAATAACCACGACAATCAAAATATTACTTTCATTCACTACCGGTCATACCTTACTAAACCATTTTTGGCTCTTTACCATTGCGAGTTAATCACTAATCGAGTTTGTTAAGTCACCGCACCTATGTATAACTATTGATCGCTACTAAGATATCATCTCTCCCTCTCTATTCATCCATCTACATATCTCATATCATGCAACTATGTGAAATTCTGAATGATTCACAAATAGCCCAAACTATTATGAGTTGTTTAGAATGTGATCTATCAGAGTAATTTGAAAATATATTCGTGTTATTTCTTGTATCTCAAGTAAGAGTTTTCTTTTCATTGAAAGTAGCAACGAAGATTGTCGATTTAGATCTACTAATTCAGATTTTATCAGTTCTGATATTGATTTGAAAAATTATAACAGGATGTCTCTTTCTCTGTTCTAATATAACTATATTGGATTAGACAATAGAGTTTAATAAAACATTTTTAGATAATTTTCTTAGATTGTAAATTGTGGTTAATCCATTAATTCGACTGGACATCCAATTTACTTTAACGAAAACAAAGGTGATAATTAAACATTGAGAAATAAAATAGATAAACCATCCAATAGATGGAGATGTAAATCTAATGTTAAATGATTATAACCTTTAAAGATGAATCCGATTGATGAGTTTGCTCTGTTGTGATAAAATAGAAAAAAGAAAAGTTTCATTCTAGTTAACAGTTAACCGGCAATTTAGTTGATTGTCAACATCAGATTAATACACTTACCCTAATAAAATTCAATGTGAACAGTCAACAAGATTATTTAACAATGATTGGAAAAGGGAAATTAAAGCAACAATTAACGTAATTATTTAATTCTGAAAAGTAACAAGATTGGATTGTTTCTGTGTGAATTTGATTTTTTCTGTGTGTCAATAATTTCAATTGGATTGAAATCAATTCAATAGGAATTATTATCATGCTTGTTTGTGTTTTCTAGAAGAAAATTGATAATCTTTAAGATTGTAATCAACTAATCAACTATTTAATGTATTAAATCAAAAATAATTAAAGTGAATGAAAATGAATTTATCTTCATTGATTAATTTACTTTTTCTTTGTTCTTGTTTAATTATCTTTCTATTGATAACTTATTGTGTTCCAAATGTTCAAGGATTATCTCAATCATCTTTATCTTCATTTTCTTCATTTTCCTCGTCTCCATCTCCATCATCATTTCCAATATTTCCATCATCATCGTCCTCTTCATCATCTTCAATATCTAATCATGTCCATGAAATCGCGACATTTGGTGATCAAATTGCTTCATTACCTTGTGAAGTAAATATTAAAAGTTGTGGTTCCATTTCAATGGTCACTTGGTTTAAAAATGTTTCGTCACAATGGGAACATATTTATTCATATTCATTTACTGGTGGTGGACATCACAAAGTATCAGGTTCATTTATTGGTCAACCCGAAAGGATATCAATGGACGATACAAATATTACTCTTACCGGGATTACTTATCTAAGGATTAAAAATTTAGGATTAAGTGATGAAGCAAATTACAAATGTGAAGTAACTTATCATCATTCAACATCAACAATTAACCATCATCACAATAATAATAACATGATCAACAACAATCATGATAATATTAATGGTAAATTGTTATCGTCATCATCAATGCCATCAACTGATTGTCCAACTACAACATACTCCAAATTATTTACATTAGGTAAGTGGTCAATCTTTCATTTTCAAAAGTTCTGATCAGAAAATCTCAGTTACAGTTATGATTCTCAAAGTCTATTGGTCATCTTGTTAGTGTTGACTAATTATAATCTGATTTGATTTCTTTCATACATGTATTAATAATTCAGTATCAAGATTACGGTTTAGTTGATCAATGTCTCCATTGACCAAGTAATCAAATGAGTATTGGTCAATATCTTGTTAATACAAAAGTCAATCATTTTCACACAATATAATATTGTATTTGTTATCTCAGCATGATAACCTAATAATATTATATCATGATGATTGAATGTCCGAGTTTCTGTGTTGGAGGTTACGATTTTTTCAACTATTTCTGGTTCGGTAAAATAATAATAATCATCATCATCATGGTAATAAAAATATTACATTGGGGAGAGTATAATAAAAATGATGATAAGAAAGATGAATATGATAAGCTGAAGATTGAACGTCTTGAGTTCATTTTCAATATGATGAAGATCAAGCTTAAGCTGGATGAAGATGATGATGATATTTTCATCGAGAAGAAAAAGATATTGACAGGAAGGAAGAAGCATGAGAAAGGATGATGATGATGAAAGAGACAAGAAAGATGACCAAGTGAAGATGAAGATGATGGTTGACAAAAATAACAGCAAACAATCAAGAATATGAGAAAACAAATGAAACAAAACATTGTAACGATAAGATGATGATCAGGATGAGGACTCTGATGATGATGATGATGGAAGAAGAAGAAGAGAGGAGAAAGAAAGAGGAGAAATAAAGATGAATTGATCCATGAAATGAGTTATGAGGAATCAATGATTATTTTACATGAAAAGAGAAGGAAAATTTTTCTTCACCATGATCATGATAATCAATCGCATTCTATTTGTCATGAAATAGTTATTCTCATAAGGAATCAAAGGCAAAGTGGGAAGGTAAAAATTGCTCTTCTTATAATGTAACATATTATGTTAGTGACTGGGAGTGAAAATTAGATTATGAATACTTAGCACTTGGGTTTCATTGAGATTATTTGACAATTGAAGTGTCACATGGAATAAGAATTCATGATTAGTTTATGAATAACATGGAGATGAGAAAATTTTATGTTAAAGAGGAAAAATTAACCATAAAGAAAATAATACAATTCTGATCTCTCTCTCTCTCTCTCTCTCTCTCTCTCTCACTGTATTATCTTCTATTTCCTTTGTTTTTGTTATTCCATTCTCTTTATCATCATTGTCATCATTATTATTTTATTATCTTCATTTCAAATGTTTTCCTTTTATCTTCATCACCTTCAATTTCAAGTTTATCTTCATCTTCTTTGGGATAGATATCATCAAGATGAACTTTTCCTTAACACTTACATGAACATTAAGAGACACTGACCAACCCATCTTCATCTGCCAACTTAAGCAGGATCACTTAAAAGTCTTTCGAATAGTCAGTTTGAACTAAGATAATGTTTTCTTTAACACCTTTCGATACTAAAATTCAACTATCAATGAATATTCCAATTCCGAAGATATGAAGTTATATAATTCATTTTTCCTTCAATTGACTCAAATCATCCTGCTTTTCATGTAAACGTCTTTTCATGATCAAGTGATCAATTCAGTCTCAAAGAATTGATTAACTCAATAGCTATTGACTTTTTGAGGTTTAAAGTTTCGATAGAACATGATTTTTATGTGAATCAAATTCTTGGTGTGAACATTTTACCTAATTAATTTGTCACCGTGAAAGACTCTGATTGTACTTTGGATTATCAAAAATTCCTTTCAGATAAATGTAGTATTTCTGAGGTTTCCCAGATTCCTAGCAAGTCTTAAGAATTTTTAACAAAACCTATGGGGTGAAAAATTAATCTTTATGATGTAAATTCAGATTTCTTTTGAATCTCAAGATGCGTTTACTTATTCATTCTGATACTTAATTTCCAATCCAAATCACATTGAATAACATGGAGAAAAAAAGTTCCAAGGGAGACAATAAATAAGTTTGTTTTTTTTCTCTTTCTAAACCAATACCCAATATCCATCCTCAATCTTTACATTTATCTGTTGGCTAAGAGGTTCACCTTAAAGGATGAATAATCTTTATCTCCAACTCAATGATCTTTTTATTCACTAGACTCGATTACTTATCATGAGAGTGAAAGAGAAAAAAATTCGGAAAAAACACACTTGACTCTCTCGTTTTCTCTCTCTCTCTCTTTAACTCATCTTCCGCCTTCTTCACTATATTCTAATAAATCGCTTCCCACCCACTGAACTTTTCTGTGTATTTATTTTCTGTATCATTTCAAAAACGATAACATGTAGACTCTCATGTTCATTGATTCTGATTATGTTTGTTTTTTTATCTCCTTTTTATCTTCATCATCATTATCATCATCTAAGTGGAGTCTATGAAGACTGTCCAGTATTCGGTACAATGAAAACAAAGTAATAGGAGAGAGAGAGAAGAGTAAACACTGACCTTGGATTTTATATCCAAACCAAAATCGTTTGAAAACTGTTATCATTTTCCAAAATCCAATATATGAGATTAAACTGTATCGACTCTCATGGGAAGGATAATATACTTTCTTTGAAACGAAATCAACAGAAAAATAGACTCATGATAATATTCATTGGATTCTCAAAGATTTTCACAGTTAATATAATATTGATATAAACGTTGACCATTTGCAAATGGTCAAAGTTTATACAAAAACTATCTTAAGGTCCAATTTACTTTGACAATCATGATATATAAAATATAATAATCCAATCAACTTGATATCAATGTTATAATATTAAATTGCCTTTTCAAATTAATCCAATTGCTTATCATTAGCATGATTCTGAATTGTTTTGATATGATTCATGAAAAGTTATTCATCTGGCCAAAAGATATTAGTAAAATCAAGTTGATAATCAACTTTTATCTTACCTTTACCATGATTATCTGACATGATGAGGAAAATAATCAGCTTAACCCATTCCAACTGAATAAATTAATATATTTATTCATTATCCTCACATTATCGTATCATACTAATCCAGTCGAGTTCAATTTTCACCCTGGAAAATTGATCTAATATATATACATGAGTGATAAAGAATATTGAATTCTCATTATTTCAAATATCTCATTTCATTTTTCCTCCTTGAATTATTTTCATGATAATTCTGATCCAGAGAAAAGTCAATTTACTGAAACTGTTTGTTTGCCGGTAACATTAGCATAGTAAATTAATGTAAGTATATCAGGAAACGATGATGCTAATAAAGTCTCTTGTATTATATTATCGTTGAAATTTCCCCGGGCCAATTGAAAGTTTCAAACGAAAATGCCCTAAGGGTAGACTCAGACAAAGAAATAAAAATAGAGGTAAAGAAAGATAAAAGAAAACTAAATTCACAAATAGAATAGAGAATCTAATGATATTTGATATCATCTTTATTACCCTGACTTTTAATACTTATTTTTTTCAATAACATTGAACTTCTTAACGATTCTGATGATTATCATGCAAAAAAAAAGTTATATGAAAATAAAAGTTTCACAAAGTTAAACTCAACAACAGGATTAACAATCATTGAAATAGTAATCTAATTTTTCACTTATCCTTGAATCATATCACATTGTTTGGTTGATGTATTATCTTTAATAGGATAATAATGATACAATGTTTCATAATAATTACCGTTAAGATCAATTTAATCAGTTAAACCTTAAATCTGTTCATGGTATTAATCTGTTAATCATTAATACGATAATGATATTGTATCTTATTTGCTTCTTATTACTAAGCAAATGAGTTTGATCCTCAAATCAGCTGACTAAACTTTCAGTCGATATTTTTACAAGTAATATGTGTTCATTTTGAATTCACTGATCAGAATAATTTAATTGTAAACTATTAATCAGTTGAATTTAGATGTAACTAAGTGATTATTTCAAGTCTCTAGATAATTGACAGGAAAAGTTTCGGGTTAATTGTAAAAACATGGTAACATATTCACTGGACCAACAATTTGCTTAGACAATTTGTCAATCTGATTTTGATTGTGTTCACCAATTGTTAATCAATTGAGATGCAAAAACTTTTCATGCTACTTGACGAGCGATAAATTTTTTCCTGTTTCCAATTGATCTTATTGAAATATCATGATTGATAATTTTATCTTGATAATAATAACGATGATGATGATCCAATCGGAATTTGGTGAAAATGTTTAAGATGAATTTTCTGTGAATTCTATTCTCTGAGTGATCTTTCAATGGATGAGCTGTTCAAATGAAATCAAATCTTACAAACGGTTGACATTAAAGCTGAACAATCGTCACCATGGATTCTTGAATCATTGAGAATGAAAGTTATTCAAATGAAATGAAATATCTGACAACCACAAAGAAACACAGGGACACACACACACACACATACATATAAAAGGGAAAAGTGTATTAAATATGTCACCAAAAGAAACCAAAAAGTTGAACCAATCTTAAATAGAAATTCAATATCATTTCACAATTTTCTATTGATAGAAAATCTAACCCTACATCTTTCACCACCATCATTGTCAAGTATTAATAACAATTCAATCTCAAGTCTACATGGAAGATAATTGATGAAAAAAATCAAGTTCTCATTCTCTGAAGGAAAGAAAATGAATAAATCTTATCGATACTTTTTTTTTCATGCAACATCAACAATCAAAATGATATGATAACTTTTTTTGCTCCCAAATATGATATCGTAACCATGATGATAAATATCATCATCATCATCATCATGAAATCAGAAGTGAATTCTGTACTTTTGTGTGTGCTTATATATAAAATGATGAGAGGAAAATTAAATTTATAGAAATTTCAATTTCTTTCAATGGTTTCGATTATGTGTCTAAATTTGATGATAAATCATCATGAATAAAATGAATTAGAACTTTTTCTTCTTCCTCTTTTTTTTAATGCATTTACCAACAAGATAGAGAATGATGATGATGATGATAATAATGATAACTATTAATTCATATCATATTATTAAATTATCATCATCATCCTCAGAGTAGTCTTATCATTCAAAGGTAATTCAATTACACCATGATATTAACCTCCAAGTGAAACTGTTCACCCTCACTTAAAACCCTCAATGTTTGCATACTTGATAACCATTTAAACCATTTACCATTATTATTATCATTACCTTGATCCGATTAAAAAAAACCTCAAGATATTGTTAGGTTAAAACATGAATCTGAATAATAAAAATTATCATGGATTCAGAATTGAGAATAGCAAAAAAAAAATGACATACAGTTAGATAAGTATGAATAATAATATCATGATGATGGAGACGATAAATTATCATATGAAATTTAATAAATAAACTATAAATCAGCATTTACCATGATGATGAATTGATTTTCAATGAAGATGACTTTTTTTCATCGATAATTAATTTGTGATTGGTTTTAATTGTTACCATGAAAAATGAAAATGAATTTACTGGACATGATATGTTATCGGGATTAGATGTAGATTACATTGTGTATAAAGTATTGACCAGTAAGTTGATTAAATTGATTTAGTTGTGATGTTATTGCTCCCTTGTAAAGAGAGTGAGTGAGAGATACTGATGATGATGATGAAGATGAGGAGGAGGAGGAGGAAGATGATGATGATGATAATGACCAATGATAAATGATGATCGATTCATCATTGATTATTTTTTTCTCTCTTTGGATTCTTTTTGCTATCTGATTTTTTTTTTCTTTCTTTTCTTTCTCTTCAGAATCTCTGGATTCTTATTCTTGTTTATTGCTTAGATAAACACAAATCAACATGAATAGTTTTCTCAGCATCTCATTGGTAATATTATCATGAAAATAAGATGATGATAGTGATGATGTAAGACAGAAGATACAGTTCGCAGTAATAAATAAATGGGACACACATACAAAGAGAGAGAGAGAGAGAGAGAGAGACTTTCTTCTTCTTCACCATTAATCGTGATTAGGACAATGATTTATCGAAACCCATACAGAACAATTTTCATCTATTCTCGAACTCGAAATTCGTTATCGTTTGGCCCAAGTTTTTGATCTACGATCTTTCTTTTCTTATTTTCGTTCCAATCAGAATGAGAAAGAGACACGAGAGAGAAAAGTTAAGATTCTAGTCTACTAATTGACCATCGGTGTTCACATATAAAGCAATCGGACAATAACTGGACACTAACTACAATTACTTACATCAATTGATTATGTCCATTGTGTCCAAATCTTAATCTACTTTAATCAAGCTTGATAATCACTTAGACTAAGAGGCTGAGGTGATGAAAATGATTCAGTTAACATGGTGAAGAGATAAATATTGTTATCTAATTAATGAATCGTTAGATACGATTTGATTATTTTTATGCTTGGGACATTATCTTATCAATTTAATTGATTGTTCTAGAGAGTAGAAGCTTTTAATCAACATACTCTCAATCAACTGTTTATCCTCCTAAATTATCAACACAGATGATTGATGAGCAACATCATCACCATGAGTATTAATATCAATGAATTTCAAATTACAAACACAAAGGGAAGGTGCTGGAAATAATTTGCATTTCCGTTAATTTATTGCTTTTGGAAACTTTATTTAAACATTAATAAGATTAATAACTAATTGCAATTGATTATTGATAATGATTTCAATATGCAAATTGAGATTGAATTAGTTATTTGTTCAAGTAATTAGTTAATACTTTTTTCAAGGGATCCGGAAATTGTAATCGCTTTTTTAAAGTTAATGGAAAGTTTTTTTTCTGATAATTATTTTCTCAGTATTTAATCAAACACAATCAAAACACTTACCAAAGTTTATCAAAGTTAATTATCACTATTGTTCAGCTGATTTTGTTGTCCATATCCGGTTGACCATTTAATTTCCTATGTCACTTAATTACTTGTTTTCTGTTTAATTGTTTGTTCACTTGACCAGTTAGTTGATTTAAATTTTCACACACAATTGTGCATGAGTTTTAAATGAATTCTCATCAATTGTTGCTTTGAAAAGCTTTTCTTCATTTCCGTTTTTGAGATAAACTTCCGTCATTAAATCTATCACCAGCATCCCTATCATGGTAAATCCACCATATTCATGTAAAATTATGAAATTTATTCACAAAACGGATTGAAATTTCCTCCTGAAATCCTTTTGTCCTTTCTAAAGTTCAGCCAGAGATTTTCATGGAAAAAATTTCATATTTTCTGAAGAAGCTTTAATTTTACTACTTTAAAAATAGACTCACAATGCTGTATTCTAGAGCAATTGATTAATTAATACTCATTGTTAATTCAATGAAAGGAGAATAGGTTGTGATTAATTTTAGGATTATTCTGTTGCTTTCATGATAGAATCTCTTTCGTTCAAAAGAAACTTCAACTCTTTAAGGTTAGAGT